ACTGAGGGTGTAGCTCCCCAGACCACCTGTGTGAGGCCCTGGATTCAATACTCAGCAAGCAAAACAAACAAGTTTTTTCCACTAGCCTTAAGTGTTCTAGCTTGCAAGGAGAGGGTGATCCCTTTGTGTCAAAGGAAGAATCCCTTTAGTCGCTTACAATGAACAATTACTGCCCTGAAAAAAATTACTATGAGAGAGAGAGAGAAACAGAGAGAGACAGAGTGGAGGCACATGTCATAGCACATGTGTGGAAGTCGTGGAGGCAAACTTTCAAGAACCCAGAAGATGGAATTTAGGTTATCAGGCTTTTTTACCCAGTGAGCCATCTCACTGACCCTGTTTTTTTGAGAGATCTGCCTGCCTCTGCCTCTGAGTGCTGGGATTAAAGGTGTACGTTACCACACTGGGTCCCTTTTTGTTTATTTTAAGGCAGAGCTCCCGCAGTCCAAGTTTGCCTCAAATTTACTGTGTAGTCCAGGATGACCTAGAACCTCAGATCCTTCTGCCGCCACCTCCCAAAGGCCAGAAATAATGCTTGGAATACAGCTTCTGGCATCTTCCTGGAGTTTAAAGGAATTGAGGATAGAATTTTGAATGGTCTTCTCTTCCCGATAAGAGACTAGATAGGAGGTTGTAATACCTGATCCTGGCTGATAAATTACTGAGAGACAAAATGCCCAGGTGATTTCAAGGGGATAGGAGCTGTTAGATTTTGGAGAGCAGAAAAAGGAGAGTTTAAAGTTTAGAAATAAGAGTCAAAGTCAGACCTGCAACAGGCAAGAAATGTGTTCCTTTATTCAAAGAATACAGCAAAGGGCTGTGGCCTTGCGGAGGGAATTGGGGATCTGCATTGAAGGGAGGGGCAGTTCCCACTTTTACAGGAATTCTGCTGCACACAGCTGCATTTTACTCGGTGCCAGGGTCTGGTGTCCTTGAGGGCCCCTCTCCCAAGATTATTTTCTCAGGCAGGCAAGCTATCTTAGGGCACTAAAGGAGACAGTGCTGGCTCCATAAACAGTCTCCCTCAGTCCAAGAGTGACCAGTTGATAAGGCTTAAGCAAGGCCAGGCTGCCCATTTAGGACTAGTTACCCCCTTTAAGGGATTTATGATTTTATGACTTTCCTTGATAAAACTTATAGGTCTTCTGCAATTGACACATTCTATCAGGAACTTCTGTATTTTATTTGTTATTTATTTATTTAGCTATTTTTGAGACATGGTCTCACTATGTAGCTCAGGCTGGAGACTTGTATAGGGGGATACTTTAGGAGAATAAGACTGTAAAGAGGGCCGATGAGATGGTCTCAACTGGGAAGGTGCTTGCCACCAAGCCTAGAGACCTGAGTTCCATCCCCAGAGCACATGGTGGAAAGTGAGAACAGTCTCCTGAATGTTTTCCTCTGACCCTCATATATTCGCTACGGCATGGGCCTCCCACTCCCCCCCCCTCAACAAATAAATAAAAGTAAATAAAATAAAGACTCTAAGGAAAGGCAAGTGCTCTCAGCTAGAACCTTGGTATTCCAGTTATTCACACAACAGAGGGAACAAGAGGCACTGGATACCTGTTCTCCAGGTCTTTTACACGCCATAGAGTTGTTCCTTTAACAATAAATATGTGAATCTTCAAGAAGGGCAGACATCAAAGGGATCAGGATGGGGGGGGGGGGGGGGAGGAACACCCATACATGTTACCATGGCAAAACTGGAGAAGTCCACAGTGTCACCCAGCATGCTGTTGCCACTGTCAACAAACAAAGGCAGATTCTTGCCAAGAGCATTAATGTATGTATGGAGCACACTGAACACTCTAAGAGCCAAGATATCTTCCTGAAACAGGTGAAGGAAAATCATCAGGAAAAAAGAAACCAGAGAGAAAAGAACCTGGGTTCAGCTGGAACTCCCATAGAAGCAAGCTTTTTGAGACCTAACGCCTTGGGAGGCAGAGGCAGGCAGATCTCTGTGAGTTCAAAGCCAGCCAGGTCTATATAGTGAGTTCCAGGCCAGCTGGGGCTATAGGGACACCCTATCCAAAAACAACAACAACAAAAAAAACCACCTTTCTTAATTAAATTGAAGTGTGGTATCTTCTCGCCACCCAAAAAAATATTTAAAGAAAACAAAGAAAGTCAAGACGTGACTGTCACAAAAGACAGGGTAGAGGCCACTGTGGAATGAAGAGCTGAGTTGGCACAGGAGGGTTCTGGGGCTTGCTCATTTCTTTTCCTTGGCCTGATTTTAGTAACAGAGCTATATGTTACAATAATTCCTTAAGTTTTGCAATTAGTTTTATGCATGTATATGTCTGTATCATACAATTTTTTAAAAAAGTAGGGGCTGAAGACATGGCTCAGTGGTTAAGAACAATGACTGCTCTTACAGTTCGCTTCCCAACACTAACATGGCAGGTGACAACTGTCCCCAACTCCAGTTCCAGGGGATTCAAGCCCTCTTCTGGCTTCTGTGGGTATTGCACACATGTGGTACACTTAAGTACAGGCAAAATACTCATATGCATAAAATAAAATAAATTTAAAATGAAAGAAAAGTGTTCTCCTAGCTTAGGAGAGACAGAGGAGGTAGTTTGAGGGCCAGCCTAGGCTACTTTTTTTTCAGACCACACCACATGTGTGCCCCCACACATGCACACATGTATGTATACACTGTGCACATGCACATGAAAACAGAGAAAGAAAAACAAAGCACAGTGTTGACAAGGTTAGCAATGAGAGGAATCTGATCCCTTGAAAGTCTGAGCTCTGAATTGGGTAACTCAGAACTGAACCGAACTCAGAAGTGAAGACAGGAAGGGATGGGAAGGCTTATTGTTCCTGACCAGAGTGAGTTCCATGGAATTAGATTTCATGTGAACAAACAAGTTGGGAATTGCTGAATTGCTGGGTTAAATATTTAATTAAAAATTATCTGCCCCACCCAGGGCTCAGGGACCATTGTGGAAGAAGGGGGCAGAAAGATTCTGAGAGCCAGGGAGGAGGTGCATGACCATACAGAAATGGTCCTACAGGCTCCTGGGATTCTTCTCATACAAATGACAGCAATGGTGTCAGCATGCACAGCATCCATGCAAACTTAAGCAGACAAAAACCCAGCACAGAACTCTGGAAATGAGCAGCAGGCCCCAATCTTAGTCAAAGAATTATTGGTAGCTGCTTACTGCTGGGTGAGGAAGAGCTGATCTTAAAGGGAGGGACTCTAGATAGGCTGACTAAATCCCAGTGGGGACACTAACTTTACATGATAGGCCTTAACACAAATGACAGAAGGCATGAACTCCAGTGGGGGACCTATGGGAGGGTGCCAAAGGGGAAGGGGGTATAAAGACGATTTTCTGTATGAAACACACAAAAATTCAATGAAATTTTTTTTTAATTAGCTGCAAAAATATATTGAGACCTGTAATAGGCAGTTTTTTTTTTGTTTTTTTTTTTTTTTTTTTTTTGCTTGTTTGCTTTGTTTTTTGAGGCAGGCTCTTCTACAGTCCAGGCTGTCCTCAAACTTGCTATGAAGCTAAGGATGACCTTGAACTTCCTGCTAAGTCCGGGGGATTACACCATGTCTCACTTTTTTAGCTTTCTTTTTTAAACAATATTTTATTTGAGCTGGGCATGGTGGCACATGTCTGTAGTCCCAGCACTCGAGAGGCAGAGGCAGGCGGATCTCTGTGAGTTCAAGGCCAGCCTGGTCTACATAGTGAGTTCCAGGACAGCTGGGGCTACAAGGGAGACCCTGCTTCAAAAAAGACCAAAAA